AAAATCAATAAGACATTGTGTACGTACAAAAATAACACGGCTCTAGAACTTTCCAGGTTTTGTTTTTACGTTTTATTTGAGTTAGAACAGTTTTTGTCAGCGAGAAGTGTGTGTGTGTGCAGTTAACGAATGTAGCAGGCAGCTCCTATATCTATAGTCAGTACAATGTTTCCGTATACACCACAGCATTTTATATTTACGAATTAATATTCTTAAAGGTTCTAATCCGTGTATGCCCCAGTGATTAGGATGGCAGGTTTTGGATCCAATGTTCCAGGTGTGTTGTTGCCGGGTAAGCCCTACACTTTTGGCTGTGGGCGCGTAATAAGAGTGACAGCCAGTCCTGTTATTCGATTCAAAACCCCTTGTGGTGGTTTCCTTCTCAGTAGTTCCATATTAGGGACTGATATATCGAAATCCTGCAGGTCTCTTACTTAGTCGCGTGGCTCACGTGCGCATAAAATGGCGCTCAGATTGAAAATTCAAATTCCAATTTTTCTTAAAATTTCTATGTCTTATTTACACTTATATTTGCAGTAGTATCTACAAATACATCTAGTAACTTCAGTTTCAACTATCTAGCCTGAAGCATCCTGACTGAAAGTATATTTAACAACGATATTTCAATAATAGTGAATAATTTCCAGGATAAGCTGTTCAAAGGCAAGAAATTATCAGCTCAAATATTTTCATGGTTTGTTTTGTTTTAGGTGTTGTTAAGCACAAAGCTAAACAACGGTATTTCTGTGTTCTGTCCGTCACAAGTATCGAAACTCGATTTAACTCGTCGTTAAGCCTGTAAAGTTACCTTTGAGCCAATGAGGGGGGGGGGACATATTTTCATAGACCGAGAACACCGGAACAATAGAGAGCCAAAATAATTAACAGAAAAAATACAAATTATTTTGTTTTTCAGACTAATCTGAACTGTAAACGAACTAGTATAAGTGTCTAAACCTCCTTAGTTTACAGTGACAGGTGTATAAAAAAATAACAAACAGGAGAAAATAATTAAAATAAATTTGAACTTAATATTCCGTATACGCAGTCTTACAGATAATTTGTTTCTTTTGTTTTTGTTTCTAGCATGAACTCATTTTAGATAAAGATAAATGCATTTATGGTTCAAGACAATCTTCAGGGGCCATGGCAAAAGAACCAAACAATAATCTGGACATACCAAGTGTTGAAGTCTCGGGTGAGTAACAGAACCAAAACATAATCTGGACATACTGAGTGTTGAAGTTTCGGGTGAGTAACAGAAACTAACAATAATCTGTATATACTAAATGTTGAAGTCTCGGGTGAGTAACAGAACTAAACAATGATATGGACATACTGAGTGTTGAAGTCTCGGGTGAGTAACAGAACCAAAAAATAATCTGGACATACTGAGTGTTGAAGTTTCGGGTGAGTAACAGAACCAAACAATAATCTGGACATACCAAGTGTTAAAGTCTTGGGTGAGTAACAGAACCAAAAAATAATCCGGACATACTAAATGTTGAAGTTTAGGGTGCACAACAGAACCAAACAATAATCTGGACATACCAAGTGTTGAAGTTTTGGATGAGTAACAGAACCAAATAATCTGTATATACTAAATGTTGAAGTCTCGGGTGAGTAACAGAATTAAACAATAATATGGACATACTGAATGTTGATGTCTCGGGTGAGTAACAGAACTAAACAACAATCTGGGTATACTGAGTGTTGAAGTCTCGGGTGAGTAACAGAACCAAACAATAATCTGAATCCACTAAATGTCGAAGTTTAGGGTGAACAACAGAATCAAACAATAATCTGGACATACCAAGTGTTGAAGTCTCGGGTGAGTAACAGAACTAAACAACAATCTGGGTATACTGAGTGTTGAAGTCTCGGGTGAGTAACAGAACCAAACAATAATCTAGACTATTAATAATCTACTAAATGTTGAAGTCTTAGATGAAAATTATTCAAGCTTAAGGTTACCATAAATGTCATAAATGTCAGGTGGTCAAACTGGGACACCGTTAAGGGTCGTGACATGTTAATTCAGGGGAAAAAAAATGTAATAATTTTGTATTCAGTGAAAACATTCGGCGTCGTCTAGTGAATAGATAAAAAGTATGTAACCAGTGTGTACAGGGTAGATTTTGTAAGGACGTTAATATTAAGCATTTGGATGAAGAAAGAGATGACAACAAACTGTCAGTATACGACATTGTTAAATAAAGATATGTGATGTTGAACTTCGTACGATATTGTTGAATAAAGATATGTGATGTTGAACTTCGTACGATATTGTTGAATAAAGATATGTGATGTTGAACCTCGTACGACATTGTTAAATAAAGATATGTGATGTTGAACTTTGTACGATATTGTTAAATAAAGATATGTGATGTTGAACTTCGTACGACATTGTTGAATAAAGTTATGTGATGTTGAACTTTGTACGACATTGTTGAATAAAGATATGTGATGTTGAACTTCGTACGACATTGTTGAATAAAGTTATGTGATGTTGAACTTTGTACGACATTGTTGAATAAAGATATGTGATGTTGAACTTCGTACGACATTGTTGAATAAAGTTATGTGATGTTGAACTTTGTACGACATTGTTGAATAAAG